TGTCTGTCTGTCTGGCAGTATAGGACATACTGTAGAATCCTTATATAATAGTAAAAGGCAGACAACAAACAATGTAATAAGACTGGATTACAAAATGAGAGAACCATGCAATAAAATCAGTATAAGAGAAGTGAGCGGGAGGGAAGGCAGCATGAGATAGCCTGATATCCTCGGATCTCGTAAGCTAAGAAGGGTCTTGCCTTGAAAACCCCTTGCTGGGGTCGCCATAAATTGGCTGCGACTTGACAGCACTTTGTTGGGATATCTGATATAATTAATCCAGTTCCTGGAAGTAGTTTAGCAGAGTGCTTTAAGCTAGGTATCCAAGCTTAGTTACAAAAGTTACACCAGGCCACTTATCAGACTAATAATAGTCTCTTTATTTAGGAACTACAGTCTATGTAGAAAAGCTTAGAGATAGGATAGTTTTGTCATCTCATGGTGATGATGAAATAAATTGCTGTACTCCCATAAGCTGCTGAATGTAACACAATTGCTTTATTGCAACCAACTTCAGACTTTCATTGGGAAAGGTGCCGGGGGGGTGGGGGTCAGTGTTCCCTCTAAGCTGAGTTAGTGTGAGCTAGCTCACAGTTTTTTAGCCTCCAGCTCACAAATTTTTGTCTTAGCTCAGGAAGGATGGCTCCAGAGCAAATTGATTTATGCAGCAGCCAAATCGCTGCCTCACAACTTTAATGCCAGCAGCTCACAAAGCAGAATTTTTGTTCACAAGACTCCACAGCTTAGAGGGAGCATTGATGGGGATTCATTTGCAATTCATGTAAACAGCCTTAGAATGGCTACATTCTCTTCCAAGCAAGCATTCCCCTGTGAGGTGACAACATCTCGTGGTGCTGAAAGTTGCCTCTGAGTAGATGTTACCAGGTCGAGAGGCCAGATGAAGGAGAAAAGAAGATTTTTATATCCCACTTCTCTCTACCCGAAAGAGCCTCAAAGCAGCTTATAATCGCCTTCCCTTCCTCTCCCCACAACAGGCACCCTGTGAGGTAGGTGGGGCTGAGAGAGTTCTGCAAGAACTGGAACTGGCCCAAGGTCATTCAGCAGGCCTCATGTATCTCAAAGCGGTTTACAATCCTCTTCCCTTCCTCTCCCCACAACAGGCACCCTGTGAGGCAAGTGGGGCTGAAAGGGTTCTGCGAGAACTGGGACTGGCCCAAGGTCACCCAGCTGGCTTCAGGCGGCGGAGGAGTGCGGAATCAAACCTGGTTCTCCAGATTAGAGTCTGTTGCTCTTAACCACTGTACCACACTGGCCAGGTTTCGCAGAGCAACAAAATATAGCAATGGCCACACATGTCACTTGCCTTCCTAGTACTGGAGGGGTGCTGCATAATCTCCAATATCCTGTCAATAAGCATCCATTTCCTGTCTTGCCAAAGCAGCAGCCTGTGACTGTTCTTGCTTGGAAGGTCACTGCTGTTAAACAGGCCAGACCAGACCAACTCAATTCTCTTGCTGTGGCTTTCCCACCAGCTCTGGGACAGTCTGGTCCTCTGCTACAGCATTTGTCAGCCTTCGTGTCAGGGTTTCGGGAGGCAACATCCTACGAGAACTTTCCCCTCGCCTGTGTCATGATCTTGTCCTCCACAGCCGTGTCTTTGTCCATTGGAAATTATAGAGGAGAGAGTATAAGTCTGGCTCTCGCTCAAAGTCAAAACGGAACAGATGCTTGAGCTAAGTAACAATGACCTTTTAGTTCTCACACATGCCTGAGTGTAGTGTATCAGGACCCGACCGCGTGGTCAGCTTGGGCACCACACGGTCAAGTACAAGCGTCGAGCTTCATTCCGACAGACAAGGGACGATACGGATCCTAGCCCGCACAAATCAGAGGGCTAGGCTCTGGGCTGAGAGCCACTAGTTTGGGACCTATTGGGAAGTGGGGGGGGTGTTTTGGGTGGTGGATTAACGGGGGATATAACCAGGCCTGCGAGCCGGCTAAAGTTGTCTTGTTCTACACCAAATAAGGTACGCTAAGCTGAAATCACTCATCTGTCTGCGTACCTTTCACTGGCGACGAGGATGGGATCCATCTCCCCTCGAACAGAGACCACGTTCTGGGCATCGCTTTGAGTCGTTGCACTGAGACCGCCGCATGCCGCTTTTGCTCCAGCGCATCTTCGGGTTCTGCTCATCGCACCGCTCCCAGCCAAGCATCGCATTGCTGACCATGAGGCTGCACCGCACCGCTCCTTCTCTACGATCGCTAGTTCCCGCCGTTCCTGCAGTTCCCACCGTTCTCCTCTTCGTGGAACTGTAAGATGGCCACCGCAACCAAGAGTCTCCCTGCCTTCGATATCTCCCACCCCTCACAGTGGGAAACCTGGCTGGAGACACTCGAGAGCCACTTCACGATCCACAATGTGATGGAACCAGGTATGAAGAAAGTGTACCTTCTCCGCCACTGCGGGATGGAAGCCCACCTCTTGCTTAAAGACTTGATAGCGCCCCAGTGGACCAAAGATGAGCCTTACAGCTCTTTGGTTAAGGTGCTGACTGACCACCTGGCTCCCAAACCTACTAAGTTTGTGAAGCGAATGGACTTTTTTGCGAAAGTCCAGGGCCCCGATGACATAGCCTCCAATTTCCTGGTGGTGCTATGTCGGGCCGCCACCAGGTGCTCCTTTTCCAACCTGGCTGAAGCTCTCCTCAACCAGTTCCTCGTGGGACTACGGGAGCCTAAGCTCCAGAGGAGACTGATCAGCCAGGACGACCTGGATATTATTAAGGCAATTAGAGAGGCCACCGCTTATGAAAAATCGTGTCATGACCGCCGCACCAAGGCGGTCCATCGCACGCAAGCTACTGTCGGCTCTGACACCTCAAACGAGGTACTATAGGTCCACCATCGGCCATCCCAGTGCCCACATCAGCCGTCCTCCAACTGAGGCAAAGCGTCTTCAGCTACCTCGGCTTCGTGCACCAGCTGCGGGGAGGACCACGAACGAAGGTCTTGCCAGTTCTGGAACGCCGTTTGCACATCTCCAGGGTCTGCCGCTCCAAAAGACAGCGCCCAAAGTCGTCAACCCACCAGACCTCAACGGACCAGCTCATCGATCTCCACTCCCTCTCGGCCCACCACCAGCAGCACCTGGTATGTAACTTGCCCCCGGATGGCCCCAACAAAGTGCATGTTACGGTTTTCATAGAGGGGTCCCCCTGCAGCATGGAGATCGATACGGGGTCAACGTTCTCCATTATCTCCGCGGATACGCTCCGGCAGCTATGTCCCAAAGACCCCCCCCCCGCATAAGCCACGGGGTTTCGCGTTACGGGACTTTAATAAGAACCCTGTGGTGGTCCGGGGCTGGAGCAAGTTCCGGGTACAGTTCCAGGACTTTAACAGCCATTTAGACCTGCTTGGTGTGGAGAAGCGACTTTCCAGTCTGCTGGGCCTCTCCTGGTTCGGGCCTTTGGGACTATCTTTGAATGAGGTCAACCAGGTCCGGTCACAGGATTTTGACGCTGTGTGCGCTGAATTTCCCCGCGTTTTCGATGGCACCCTGGGACGTTTTTCTGGGGCCCCTATTTCTCTGGACCTTGACCCTGCTGTGCACCCCATTCGCATTAAGGCCAGGCTGCCGCCACTGGCAATGAAGCCTAAGATTGAAGCTGAGCTGGATCGCCTGGTGGAACATGGGGTTTTAGAACCTGTGGCATCTGCCCTGTGGGAAACTCCCATAGTCACCCCGGTGAAGCCGAACGGGGCCATGCACATTTGTACTGATTACAAATGCATGCTCAATAAGGCTCTGCAGGCACACGCTTACCTGGTGCCGGTGGTGAGCCATGTGTTGGCTGCTTTAGTGGGGGCCCGGGTTTTTGGCAAATTGGACTTGGCCCAGGCGTATCAACAATTGCTGGTTGATGCCGCTACGGCTGAGGTTCAGACTATCACGATGCACAGGGGGGCTTTCAAGGTGCACCGCCTCCAGTTCGGAGTCTCAATCGCACCGGGTATTTTTCAATCTTTTATGGATTCACTCCTAAAAGGTATCCCTGGAGTTCAGCCATTTTTAGACGACGTGCTGATCGCTGCCCCAGACCACTTGTCTTTCGCCAACCAGCTGCAGGCTGTGCTGCATTGCTTCGACACGGCCGGGCTCAAGGTCAAGCAGGAGAAGTGTCTGCTGGGGGTCCCTCACGTCAAATTTCTGGGCTTCACAGTCGATGCCTCCAGCATCCACCCCACCGCAAATAAGGTGAAAGCCATCACTCACGCACCACCTCCACGGTCCAAATTGGAGCTGCAGGCTTTTCTGGGGCTTCTGAACTTTTATCATTCGTTCTTGCCCCTCAAAGCTGCAGTTGCTGAACTGCTCCACCGCCTCCTGGACAAATTGGCACCTTGGGTTCCGCCGCAACCCCCGGCGTTCCAAGCAGTTAAGGTGGGGTGCTGGTGGGGTGGTGCGCATGAAAGCCTTGGCTCGGAGTTACGTCTGGTGGCCGGGGCTGGACAAAGACATTGAGGACATAGTAAAGAGGTGCCAGCCATGCCAAGCCTCTCGGCCAGAACCACTTCGAGCCCCGGAAAGGGCCTGGGAATCCTCTCACCGCCCCTGGTCCAGGTTACACTTGGATTTTGCTGGACCTTTCCAGGGGCAGCTTTTCTTTATACTTGTAGACTCCTACAGTAAATTGCTGGAGGTAGTTCCAGTACCCTCCACGTCATCGAAGGCAGCCATCCGGGCGATGTGGCGGATATTCAGCGCCCAGGGAATCCCTGACACGCTGGTCACGGACAACGGGACGTCCTTTACCTCAAGTGAGTTCCAGGACTTCACGAGATAGTACGGTATCCGCCACGTCCGGTTGGCCCCGTTTCATCCTGCGACCAATGGCCAGGCGGAACGCATGGTCCAGACAATGAAGGACACACTCCGCCACCTGGACTCCTCGGATTGGGACTATAAACTGGCAGTTTTTCTGTTTGGCCAGCGAACTACGCCCCACACCACTACGGGGCGCAGTCCAGTGGAGCTACTTCTCGGCCGTCGCCTGATGACTCAACTGGACCGCCTGCACCCAGACCAGGCCCCAGCAGAAGCTCCAGCCACAGAGACCCACGAGGCCGCCATGGGATTCTTTCTGGAGGACCCGGTCTACGCAAGGAGCCTGGATTCCAGCTAGAGTGGTGAGAGTCAAGGGCCCGAGATCTTACGAGGTTTCCTGCAAGGACGGGCAGATACTGCATAGGCACATTGATCAGTTGCACCGCCAAACCTTACCTCTGGAACCCGAGGACTTGGACCCTTCAGAAACACCAGAGGCCCCAGCCCCTCTCCAATAGGAACTTGCCGAACCGGTGCTTCTCCCAGAGAGAAGGTCCAAGGAACCGCAGCCAGCTACTACAGTCACACCAGCACAAGAACCCATGGCGCCACCCCCGGACAGCTCTCTGTCAAGGACAGCAAGAGAATGGAAGATTTGTCTCCACTTACCGTGAAGCTTCCTTCTCGGTGGTCCAGAGTGGAGCAGTCCTTTGGACTCCAAACTCCTGGGTTATATCAAAGCAGTGCCCTCCAGGGTGGGTCCGTTCCGCTTCCCCGCTCACAGGGTGGGCTGCAGCACCCTACGGCCAAAGGCCGCCTCTGCAGATGCCAACTTGTCAATCTTGTAGTGTCTAGTAAAGGAAAGAACAGACTTCCAAGTTGCCGCTTTACACACTATGTCCAGTGTGGGAAAAGCCCTATAAGCTGCTGAAGTGGCCATACCTCTAAGAGAATGTGCCGTTACTCCCTGAGGGGGTTCTAGCCCCCCAGCCTGGTATGCTAAACAGATACAACCCCGTATCCATCTACTTAAGGAGGAAGGAGAAACTTTCCTTCCCATGGCCGATTTCCTAAAAGAAACCGAACAAAGC